GGTCTTGTAAATGGTTCCTATCTTTGGAACAGATCAGACCTTGAATCATTATGTTTCTGAGCTTTCCAGATACCCACACAGCAATTTGTCTTGTTGCTTAGGCACATTCCTACCCCATATAATTAGCTATGCAAGATCCTTAACTTTTAATTGAGAAGAATAAAACTCAGGGAAAACTCAAGTGGATCCCTGCAGCCCCACTTCCTATTAGCTGTACTGGACCGGATCAAAGAGGTGCTGACCTCCCTGGCAGCTACTTTACTGTCTAGAACCTGACTCTACTCTTTTTCCTAAACAGTTCCTTTTTTGGGGATGGAATGGGAAATGCACAGGTGACGGAAACTTACGAACTTCTGGAACAGGCAGAGAAAGTACACAATGGAAGGGAGGGAGGGAGAGAGGGAGGGAGGGAGGAAGGAGGGAAGGAGGGAAGGAGGGAAGGAAGGAAGGAAGGAAGGAAGGAAGGAAGGAAGGAAGGAAGGAAGGAAGGAAGGAAGGAAGGAAGGAAGGAAGGAAGGAAGGACTCTGAAGTTTACTCATGGTAAATACGGTGCACAATTTCTGCTGTGTAAAGTATCTACAGATCCCTAGGAAACATACAAATTTTATGAGCTCAGTCATGAAATGCCTTTGAGAGATCTTTAAGAGCAGTGTGTTAAGTGCTAATAGGCTTTTTAATCTATACCTTCCACATTTTGTCAAATTGAGTTGTGACTCAGTGACAGAGTGCTTATACTTTGTGTGCATGACTACAGTGTCACCATGGAGCCAGCTGCAGTTTAAGAGACAAAGTTAAAATCTCAGCCATAACAAAACGTACCTGGTTGAGATATAGCTCAGAAAAATTGACTAAATATTGTAAGGTGTGCAAAAATATTTATGACTTAAATTAGCTCTTTACTAACACCAGCTAATTAGTCCTCACAGGAGTACCCTTATGGGGAAGATCATATTAGCATTAGCCATATTTTAACAGATTGAAACACAAACGGGTAAGTGTTGTGATCTGTCCAAGACTAAACAGTGAGAAGGGGCCACCAGTGGTATTAAAACTCAGTTCCTGGTTCCTCTTCTTATGCTTTGACTGTGCTGTTTTCCTTCTAAATTGTTTCATACAGGTTTTCAAAAGATACCTAGTGATTAACCAGTACCACATGCTTTCCTGACTCCCCCCAAAAAAACAAAGAAAAAAGCTTAACCTCCAGACAAGTAGTTCTGTTTCTAAAGGAGGATCAGTATGAAGAGTTATTTCCTAAAAGTAGACAAAGCCTTTTTGATATCTACAGAAAAATACAACTACCTTGAATAAACAAAACAGTGAAACAACATGGAA